CTTGTACACAGGGACAACATTCGATATCCATTCTGCATATCGGCACGGTTGGATGAACTTTGCCTCCAGTAGCCTTTCAGTCTTCCTCTTAATATCATCAAGCACGTTCGGATTGAATCTCCTTGGAGCTTGCTTAAAGGGCCGATATCCAGGTTTGATTGGTAACCGATGTTCAACAATTGATCGGTCTAAACCAGGCATCTCGTAGTATTTCCAAGCAAAGCAGTCTTTAAATTCTTTTAATAAATCAATTAATTCTCGCTTATACTCCGGATCTAATTTAGCACTTATGTATGTCGGCCTAGGTCTGTCTCCAGAACCAATGTCCACTTCCTCTAATTCATCGGCCGACATGAAGCCATGTCCCAACTTACCATCTGTGCCATCTATTGGATTATCCATTAAATCAAATCTTCAAAGCCGACTGCTTGGATCGGCTGTTGGCTCCCGCCATTGATTCTGGATTCTGATGGCAATAGAAAAGCCATTTGGATATTAGCCGATGGTTGCTTTCTATCGGCTATTTGCTTGGTGTGCCACACTTGATGTTCACCGGATACCTAAGCCTGTTCCAACTCTTTATTCCTTAGGCGCTGCATTCTTTTCTTTTGGCTCCTCGTTAGTCCTCCAGGGCTCCACTGGCCTTCCTGCCAAATGTATCCTTCCTTGTTGCTTTCTTCTTCATGATCGGCCCAGTCTTGGTCAATGACTCTTTTCCTTAGCCGATCATGAACATTTTTATTTTTTAAGCGCTGATCCATGTCATTATGATGATGTGAATCCTGGACATGGACAGACCGGCGGTTGATTTGAGACTGCCTAAACCCCAAATATTGATTGCTACATTCTGGACAGTCATGTCTAGTAGGCAATTTCAAACCTTCATTCCAGCAGTATCTAAAGAAAGGACAATTCCAGTGTGATTCGGTTTGTCTCCTTTCATACCTTCCTTCTTCTAGTTGACGCTAGTACTCTTGATCATCTAACCATCGCTGATAATCCTTTTCCTTCTGTCGCTGCCACTTATTCAACAGGATCCGGGATGTAACTCACGGCTTTGTTGCTCCATTTTTTGATGTTTTCCCCTGCTCATATCGGCCCTTTTGCTGACCACGACGTTTCCTAATTTCTCTGTATTCATCTGCCGATATTTGCATCTTGGGTCAACTGTTCCAGCTTCTCTTGATTTGGCCGATGTTAGAACCTTAGTTTTTCCTTTGAATAGCCCGACATCAACCATATTTTGATCTCCTGGAAAAGGATTATCATCAACTTTCATCTTTTGAGGCATATCGAACTTGAGTCTCCCTTGCTAAATAGCCCTTTGTATATGTTGCCGGAAAATCCTGCATTCATTAGTGGAATGAGAAGTAGCATTACGGAACTTGCAAAACTTCTTATTCTTCAACTGTTCAGGGGGCAACATGACATGATTGTCCTGCAATTTGATCTGGCCCTTCTCAAGTAAGAAATCAAAGAGTTTGTCTGATTTTGTGACATCGAAGTCATAGCTCTCTTCGACTCCTCTTCCCCAAGGATTCGGCACCATTACCGTCTTCTTGCCTCAATTCCATTCAGCTGCAGCAACATCTTCCTCTTCATCCTCATAGCCGTCATCGACTGAGTATGGATCATAAGCTTTGGCTACGGTGGTATTCTTCTAGAATCGGGTGTCTCTGCGCATACTCTGTAATTGGCTATTGAGCGTTGCTACTCGTTGAGCCAACTAACCCAAGTTGTCAAATTCTTGTCTTAGTAGCTTTTCTTTCCACATTGGCAGCATTCCTTGGACAGCTAAAGCAGCTAGCTGATCATTGGCCAAACTCAATGAGAAACATAAGTTCCTAGTTTCTCGGAATCTCTGAAGAAACTCAGTACCCGATTCATTAGTCCTCTGTCTCATGGTTGTCAAATCGGTTATCTTCTTTTCTCTTGTCTCAGTGTAAAAATATGTATGAAACTTCTTCTCTAGGTCAGCCCAGTTGGCAATGGAGTTGACTAGTAGGGACGAAAACCAAGTGAAAGCTAGCCCTGATAGGGATAAGGAGAAGAAACGAACTCGATGGGCATCCTCAACTGATGCTTTGCCCAATTGTGTAAGATACCGACTGACATGCTCTATCGTGCTTGTACTGTCTTGGCCAGTGAACTTGGCAAACTCTGGGAGCCTGTAATTCGTAGGAAGAGCGACCAAATCATACCACTCTGGATATGGGCGTTTATACGAAAAGGCCAGCCCTTTTGGCTTTAGACCGAACTGATTCTTCATCATCTCGATCACCTTGAGCAGCAATTCGTCAGCTTGTGGATTTGGATTCCTCGATACTTGCTAACCCATCTGTGGATTGAAATCCCGTGTGCCCTAATATCCTGGATTTGATATCATGTAAAGAGTGTTATAATCTGTGCCATAGTGATACCCTTGTGGAATCTCAATCTACTAGGTCCTCTGCTGGCTTGCTGCCCGGAGTCTCTGATTGTAGATATGAGGATCTATATCTCTATGGATCCTTTGAATCGGTGGTGCTATTTTCTGAGCCGACAACGGTATGTGGCCTGACGTGCCGAAATTAATCATCTGGTTCTGATTCTGCCCCGCCGGCTATTGCACATGTTGTATCAACGGTCCAGTATTGTACTGTGTCTGATTTGTAGTAGTATCTTGAGCTTGTTCAAGTGAACCTTGAAGTGCCTGGACGTCATTATTACCAGCTGGTGCTGCTCCTTGATGGCTGGTACTAACTTGATTAGTCCCTTGGGTCGACGGTTTTAGAATGTTGTAACAAGTCGATCCAACCTGACCAACTGGAATTCCATGGATCGCCTCTTTCATGGCGTTGTGAAATGCGTCAACGAAAGCTTCATTGCGGCTTGATAAAGCATCACGAACAGATTTGTCTATGGCTTCCGTAAAGAAACGCCTTTCTTTAGCTTCGAATGTATCTGTCTGCCCGTGTAGTAGAACTCTTGGTAGTAGAAATTTCTGAATAATGGTGCTATCACGTGTTTTGGTGTAGGACAACAAACACTTCTTCTGAAATTCCTCTGTGGCTTTGTTGAAGGTATCCTTATCTTCATCAGGTAGGTCTTCATAATGTACCATAAGGATGTTGTTGTTGTTGTGAATCGCCATGACGATTGTGGTGTCCCACCGAGCGTGCCAAGAAACGTGTGTCGACATAGAATTTCGTCCCGTGCCAAGGACACACGCAGCAAGCCGGAAGGGTCCGCTTGATGGAGCAGATCCGCCTAGCTTTAGCGCACGGGTGGTCGATCCTGCGCAATCCTCCCGAGACGTGCCAGTCAATTTGACCCTGCAATTGACAAGGAGAGAAAGTTTATCAGTAATTAAGGGCGAAACATGCCAGTGTTGCCAGACAGTCCCGAATGTGCGGCTCTGAGAGCCGATATGAGAGGAGATCGACTAAATAGTCGATTTCGGCATATTTATAAGAATAAATCGGTTAAAGCTCATGGGGTTGTGTAAGAAGAATCGGTTATCATCCAAGATAGATATAATTCTAGCAATAATTTAATCAATGACAATAAGATATCGATGATAATTGGTTTAAACTGAGCCAATGATTATAAGTAATCGAACCCCTTTTTATATAAAGAAACGATTCAACACCACTTAATTATTTAATAAAGATAAATCTAATGAACATATTAGATCTCATCTATCACCATGACCAGTGGGGCATGAGGCAGAATCATGCAGGCCATAGAAACAACAATAGACTCGACGACCCTAACTCATTACTAATATCAGTGGGGCATGAGGCAGAATCATGCAGGCCATAATACAATAATAAGATCATGGGGCTAACATATCTTTTGACTTATCTCTACTTCAATGATCTCGTGATATGAACTGTTCATGAAAGCGCTTGATATCGACTAAACAACCGATTCAGGCATAGCGCACAGTTAAGGTCATGCCTTCTCAGGAATGGATCTATCGACTAACGATCCCCACTCCATGGTGCTAACAGTGGGGGTGAGAGGTAGAATCCCATAGGCCGTGATAACGGGTCATAGAACGGTTCTCGCCAACCCATAGATCTACTCAAGATCGAACATGCCTTAACCGCACGCTATTCACAATTAAGATTGATATAAAACAGCCGATAAAAACATAACTCATCGTTTAAGACGTAGATTAGATCAGTTTTAGATTGATAAACGATGGGTTAAATAAGATATAAGGCCGATCCAGATCAATCTCAATCGGGCAGAGTAATATTGCTGTAATCAGATAAACAATGAAAGCAATAAGCAATATCGGTAACTTAATGAATCTACCAAGGACTACCATTCAAAGGTAGAGCCGATAACTTGACCTTAATCTAATTCAAGTAGTGGGGTGTGAGGCAGAATCACACAGGCCATACTTGAATTAGACAAGAGTCGATAACTAGCATATACCAGAGTCGTAGTGGGGGTCGACCGGATCGATGCAGCCATATAAACAGAGGTATAAACCATGATGGTACTTACAGACAAGCAGTGAAGGTCAACCGGATTGATGCAGCAGTACTCGCTGAAGAACTCGCCGAAATCTACTCTACTCCTACTCCTAAGGGGTGGCCGGAGCCGAAAAAAGTAAATTGACTTGTATTTGATTGATTGTGTTTTTTTACAATAGCCAGGGTTTGATATTTATACTCGGGACCTACGTACGACTCGTATTTAAGCACGACTCATCACAAATTTTGACTCTAAAGAGAACATTCCTAATTTAAGATAACTTAGACTCTAATCTTTCCCTTTTTCGTAGAGTCCAACATGTCTCGTCCGGGCGCCGAACGTAGCCTCCGTCGTTATCTGCTGGCGATATTTGAAGAAAGCCGATTCTAGCTCCCGCATCCGAATAAGCTATTCCCGATCTGCACACAATTGATCTCTTGCTGACATGATTTTGGGAGCTCTCGAGCCCCTGAGACCCTTCCTCCAAATTTCGGTGTAAACACCGTGGTTGCCATAGCCACCACCGAAACCTCCACGGCCTCTCCTCCCCCAGCGACCACCACCAAAACCTCCATGGTGCGCATTGTATCCTCGGCCACCAAAACCACCATACTGGAAGCCAGCGGCTTGATAGCCACCACCATGGCCACCGTACCCCGGGTTAAAACCAGGATTAAAACATTGGGATTGACCACCGTGGTAGCCCTGAGAGTACGTCGCCTGCTGGTGAGTTGCCGGTGGAGCATGGTGTGGCTGCTGGTTTTGGTTCAATGCTGGTTGGGCACCAAGTGGATGTCCGTCGCGTCCAGCCATTGCCGGAGGATTTTAACGAGCGCATACGACATCGGCGTAATAACGAGATGGGCGAGTATACGATTGGCGGCTAGAATTAGGGTACCGTATTCGGTTCCAGGTCGCGTGAGAAGAGATCAATCGGACCCTTCACGGGCGGTACCACTTCCTGTGCCCAATTCATACCAAATCTCAGCCCGACTCTCTTCCAAATTTGATTTTGAATTTCCCAGTAGTATTTCTCGGCTGCCGTCCGTCGTGTTGCTTGAAACCAACAACGGACGGTAATTTCGAGATCACGGGTGAACCAGAATCTGGTGAACTGGTAGCTCCGGCTAGCAATACCGGCATTTATGAATGACGAGAGCCACTCCTACAAGGTGAGGATTTGCTTCTCCAAGCAACCTCCGGTCGTCTCAAGAGTCCGTGGGGAGAAACCCTTGGAGGCGACAACCCGACCTCGCCATGGAGTAGGCTTCACGCGATGTTGCACCAAACAGAGATATGATACGTTTAAATCGACGGCGGTGTACATCCGTAAGAAGACGTAGCACTTACCGAGTACCTTCGTTGAGTTCATGTTCACTTGGGTAGATCCTGTAGAGAAGCCGACCTCCAGCGCCATACCGCGATAAGCTCGGTGTGGATGGACTCCAAACCTCTGCGAGGAGCCGCAAAGGATCTGGCGTGGATGGGTTCCTTTCTTCTTCTACAATGATTTCCTCATCGACTTCCTCATCCGATTCATCCGAATCCATGTTTCCACGCCAAATTTGGAGGATGGAAACTCCATCCCGTGCTTTCTTTGGTGGCTTAGAGCATATCGCGCCATGGATTCCACAATTGCGAGATAGTTCTGCCCTTGCACTTGTGTAATCCGCGTCCAAGAGGCTGTCCTTGATGACGCTCAATGAGGGCAGCCGAGGCCTTAGCTTTGCCTTGATCGCCGGAGCTAAGGTCAGCCGCCGCCTCATGCATCGCTGTCCTCAGAGCCTCAAGCTTGGTTTAGACGTTCAGTTACCTCGATCTAACAAGACAACGCAGCCAGTGGCAAAAAAATTTAGGAGGGGTTGAACAAAAGAATAGAGGTTTTTTTTCTTCTTTTAACTTTAGTTCCTCCTACCTAATACATATATGCATAAAATTTCAAGGGAGGGCTTAGGGCGGCTCCACGTGCCTAGGATCGGTAGGGGGGGCTAAAGCCCCCCAGCCCCACCGCTGCCTCCGTCGCTGAACGCAGCCACCATGCATACTGTACGAAATCTACATCTATTTTGCTATACATCTAGATATAATAATATGTCTAGATCCATAGCAAAATAAATGAACCAAAAAAAGTCAAAGCGACTTATAATTTGAAACGGATGGAGTATCAAATATATATGCTATAAAACTATAACTATCGCTTATATTAATAATAACTATGTTTATATACCAAACCGGAAGAGATAAATATATAGAAATATATAAATATAATGTAATATGTAAGAGGCTAATGTTTTTCATTCTTCGTCGCTGGCAACACATTCGACAGTGATCGATAGACTCCAAATCTCCTTTCTTATGTGTCTATATAAGTTAGAGTAACGTGTCTAAGCACAATGCATTGATGTTTTCGGCTGATGGTTTCTACGGCTAATAAGCCGGCTGAAGCTGATTTGTTGTGAGAGAAAAACATTGTTCCATGGCTGATAAGCCAAGCTGATAAGTTCAAGCGAACAGGGCGTTTTCCGAAATGACATGGTTCGCCAACTTTCATACATGTCTGTATGAGTAAAATGTTTAAGTGTGATGCAGAGTTCGATCACAAAACGAATTGACACACACACACACACACGATAAGATCACTGATAAATCTCTAAACCTCTTGTACCCATTATGAGCTAAAGCAGAAATGTGTTTAAGCACACTATGGAGTTTGATTTCCAGATGAATTAAACGTATGACGTGATCACTAACTAAATCTTTAAACCACATGTCATCTAGGTATATGTGTGGTGGTATGAGTTGTTGCGCGAGTTTAGATACTGCATTTTGTACTTGAAGAGTTGAAGAATAAAAAAAAACTAAACGTCTTGTCACATCGGGTACATGCATGTTTGCTAGTTTCATGATAAATTGAATGATACTAATTTGCATAAATATTGAGTATTTTTTATGTATATTTGATTAAATTCAAATAGTTTGACTTTGACTAAACCTATAATATCCTTTTTAGAAGAAAGGAATTACTATACTCTTTGTTTTGAGATTTAGGTCTCCCTCGTCAGAGAAAAAAATCTTGCAGGAACCTTCTATTCACACGTCACACACAGCAATATCCACCAACAATTAATTAGCATAGAGTAATTTAAAACCGTGGTTTGTGATGATGGGATCGGTAGGTGGCAATCATTCGTTATTTGACTTTCTGTTTTTCAGGTAAAAATAAATAAATACTCTAAAAAGGACAAACAGGACAATTTTTAAAAAAGAGAGACAAATATAATTGAGGTGACCCGTGACCACAACAGGTTGGTGGGCACTAACAATGTGTAAAACAGAACTCAATCCCTACATGATGGGGAATTTTGCCGGCCGAATCTCCCGGGCTTCTTCAACTGCCTCTAGGAGCTTGCGGAGTGCAGAAACAGCAGCGGATTAGAAAATGGCCGCCACGCCACTCCACACTATCCTGGTTTCCTAGAGCTAGTGGAGTAGCTGTAGCACCTTCTAGAAAGTCTTTTATTCTAATTCGCTTTTGCATTGCTTTTATCGGTATGATAATGGCGTATTAGCATCACCTCGATTGTCATTTAATTTAGCTGTGGCCAGGGGACGTGAATGAAGAAGGTTTTGGATAGGGCAAACTTGATTTAACAAGAGACATGTCTCGGTTTGCCCAATGACTTTAGGCGTAAAGCAGTCACAGTGTCACAGTAACACCACCATCACCATGGATGTCATTACCCGATTCGTTTGGATAAAAAGGGCCGTTTAGACGACTGGGCGTCTAGCTGACAATCCTACTCGCACCTTGCGATCTCACCACCGGTAAGATTTGTCTGTTCTTTGTCCGGACAAAAATTACTATGCTAATTTATGATTGGCCGACCAAACATATAGTACTTTCGGATTTGTCACCAATCGTCCACTCCTGAGTACATAGGCCACAAAATCAGCGACATATTAGTAGGTGGCGAAACTTCAATTGCAATGATTCAATGTTAATCTACAGATGAGCCAGGACCAAAGCTCGTCCAACTAAAGCACTTTTGTGAACTCAAGCTTACACATGCTTTATTTTGAGTTTATAATACTGTCTACTCGAGCGAAATTAAGTTTATACGTTTCGCTGGTTTTGCTGGTTCTGTCAGCCTTAGCGATCCCGGCTCACGACGACCTCGGCGCGCTGTGGCACGACAGATCCGACGACCTGAGCGTCGCCGGCGGGTACTCCTACTCGCACTCCCACTCGTCTTCACCGCTCAAGCGGCGGGACCTGCACCACCACCACCACAGCCCCGTGTCGGTGTTCGAGGGGCCGTCCTCCTCTTCACCATCCCGGAGCCCGCCGGCTTCCTGGCTCGCCGCCCGCGACCGGGACCGCCTCTTCGCTGGCTTCGTGCGCAACGCGCTCGGCTCCTGCGTTGACTACGCGCCGCCCACCAGCCCTCGCCCGGAGGTCGGCGCCGGCGAGTTCGCGTTCGAGCTTGACGAGAACCTCGCGGAGGCTAGCCCTGCCTGCGAGCCGTACGCCCGGGAGCTGCTCACCGGTGCCCAGGATCGCCACCGCATCTTCCACGAGGAGCTGGTCGTGAAGGCCTTCTTGGAGGCCGAGAAGGCTCACCGTGGCCAGGTAATACCACAAATTCCAACCTCTAGCTGAATTGTCCGTTCCTGAATAGTCTGTGCATTAGTTACTGATGAATTTTGTCTCTGCTTTTGTTCTGTGATTAGACGCGGGCGAGTGGTGCTCCATACTTGTGCGGAGACTGTGTGTTGGATTGATCTCCACCGGTTGGTTCAACGGTTAATTGGGTCTTTGATCCGTGTTTTGATCGGGGCGCCCAGCCGTTCTTCTGGCTGATGGGCCCTTCTCGTGCAGCGCTGTAAAGTAGAAGGTGGGGACCGGAGCGCAAGGTACGAGGTTCACCGCATCCGTCAACGCCCCACCGACGCCATAACCCTAGACCGATCGAGAGGGTATGCTGTAAGCGATGGGAAGTCCACACCGCCTTCACCGTCGCCACTGGTCCGCGCCAACGCTGCTTCTACAGTCGACGACCTAGCGGGCGCCTGCACAGCTTTCCCTATACCGACACGTCGCGCCACCTTGTTGGTGGCTCCACAGCCGCGACTGCACTCGATGAGGTACTTAACAAGGTATTGTCTAAGTCAAGTTTTACCCGCTGATCTACGTCAAGTTGATCTTAAAGGTATAACAATGATATCAGAGCCTTCTAGGTTGTAGATCTAGCCCAGGGTAGTATTAGTTTTTAGCATTTAGAAGGAGGTGAACGAATCGAGTCGAATCGGGTTGAAACCCCAACTCTAACCCTAACCCTAGAAGGGGAAAGAACGGAGAGGGGGAGGAACCTACCTGGTTTTCCTCGCCACCGTCGACACTGCCGTCGCGCGAGAAGAAGCACCCGCCGCCGCCTCGCCGGCATGCGGGAAGAAAGCCGCCACTGCTTGTCGCCGCGCGCTCGAGCTCCGGCCGAGGGCACCACTACAAGCCCGCTCGACGGCGGCGCGCTCACCCTCAGGCGAACGACCCTCCTTCCTTCCTCTGGCCGAGGGTGAACCACGAGCCCATATGCGACCCAAACCGGAAGCTCAGCATGGGGGACGTGGTGGAGCTGACGCCGGCCCTGCCTCGCAACAGCGATCGAGACACTCAGACATGCCGTCTCGATCGCTGTTGCGCTTTGCAAGTCCGAGAGTGTCGGATGGAAGGTGTCGTACTCCTTCCTACACGGTGCAGAATGGATGGCAGAATCGTACATGCAAGTTTTGAAGTTAGGTCAGCGGAGTCGCGATGGTCACTATACGACTTCACAATCACAACACATGTACTTTACTATTTTTCTGCCAACGTGCAGGGTAGGACGCCGCACTCTTGAACTCAAAACTGTATCCTAGTGTCTTCCAGATCTCCTCCTATCAGAGAAAAAAAAAGGAGGTACAAGTCTGAAATGGAGGCATCCTGAATTCCTGACCCAATATCGTAATTCAAGTACTTCTTCTAGAGGAAACAAAAGAAAAATTGATGAAATATAATTCCATGCAGGTTGCGACAAGTGATCAAGGAACTGGAAATTGAAATGGTGTCAGCTGGGCCTCGGGAGTCAGGACAGTGTGGTATCTGGACATTTCTTGGGCCCAAAACCCAGTCCTCCAGTACGAAACTAGAATAGTTTTGATCGAGAGTTTGATTTCTAGCACGAAAATCTGAATGTTTTTTCAGCCCTGTTTGGATCCCTCCTCTAAATTTTAGATGGAGGGAGTAGTTCCTGTGCTTTTCTAGACAACAATGAAGGAGTTTTACTTCACCATTCGAGGGGAAAACAGATAGATATAACAATGCCAATAAAAATGAACCTTTAAGCTATGCTAACTAGATAAAAAATTAGAGTATCCTTGAGCCTCCCAAACAGCCTCCTGCTAAGCCGGTGATGCCGCTGTGGAACAGGCGGGCCTGCTTGGTGGCTCATAGCCTCTCCGCGAGTACCTGCTTCCAAGCGAGGTGAGTGCTGATCAAGCAGCGTATGGGCTACACCAAGGGTCCATCAGCGCCATCTGCGTCAGAGCTAGAGGCCTTTGACAACATCTTCGACGGCAACCTAACTGCGTCCAACGTCGAAGTGTTGGACGCGCTCTTTTTCTGGGCGGTGGAAAGGGCTCGTCCAGGCAGCCACGAAGGCGCAAGGCCACCTCCTAGGTCGCACCACAGCGTCGGTTTTGGTTGTTTTTCTGTTTGTGTAATATCAAAAGTGCAGGTTTTTTACTAGGATGATCCAGCTACGGCTGTTTGAGGTCGACCTTCTTCAGTGCTCGATAGAGGCGCGTTGTCTGTATGTTTAAACTCTTCTTCTTAATATAATGATATGCAAATCTTTTACGTATTCGAGAAAAATTAGAGTATCCGTCTACATGCTGAGGCCTCCTCTGAACTGGGGGATTTTGTTTTACAGAGGATTAAGCACTGTTTATGCCTTTCAAATGGAGGATTGGACCATATAAAAACCGAACCAAATGTCCATACGCTGCTCATTTCACAGGAAGATAATAAAGGAAATGTGCCTCGAATGCAAAGCTCTTAGTGGCATGTGAGGAAACAATTGAAGATTAATATTGTATGGATAGTTATAATTGAAGATTAATATTGCATGGCTAGTTAATGTGAGAATGATTAATTTATCTGTCTGATTCCTTTCCTGTACTTTATCCAAACGGTTGCTCTTTTAGTTTTAAACTTTTCACATGTTTCTCAATCTTTTCTATAGCACGTGTATTTCTACGAAAATCTTACGTTTTTCTTATTCCTACATTTGATCTTTCTTGCGTTCCAAAACAGCCCTGGTAAATACTCACCACTGCCATTAGCAATGGTAATACTCTCTACTCGTCACCTATGAATTATTAGAATCTAATTGCGAATGAAATTATAATAGTCTAGATTATGGATTAAATAACCTGGGTTGTTTGGATTTCTGGATTGAAGGTGCTGGATTGTAGAATTTGGTGCTTTGATGAGAAGCTATAATGTTCTAACATTGTTATTATTATTATTATTATATTTTTTGAGAAACTGTTATTATTATGGAATTTCTAAATACCCCTATTATTATTATCTGAGATAATACGAGGACTATTTCATTGAATTTGAGCTAAATGGGCTCTGCACCTGCCTGAATAGTCCCAACCCGAAGGCCCTCTTGAGTATTTTGGGTTGAGCCTCGGGAATGTGGCAATGGTCCCAAAACTAACCAGGCCTGGGCCGGGCGGAGCCCAGTCCTTGGAACTGGAATTGGCCGATATTTGATCCTCCCCAAACCCGTATACCCACCGGAGAAGTGTCCGTCTTCCCACTTCGCTCTCCTGATTCGGTGAGTCCTGAACCGCTCCACCTCGTGCTCGTCCCATCTCGCATCTGGCCGCGGCGCCGGACCTCGAGGTGAGCCCCATCTGCTCTGCTCTTCTCTTCTTTGCTCTCTCTCTCTCGCTCTCTCGCGCTCTCGCTCTCGCTCTCGCTCTCCCTCCCTCCCTCTCTTACGAGATCTGATTTGTTTCCTCCCTCCCTCCCTCTCTCTCTTACGAGATCTGATTTGTTTCTTACGGTTCTACGAAATTCTCTATTCAGACCCGCCAGATGCGGATATTCAGATCTGAGATTAGTAGCATCTTATTTTTCACCTTTTTATAACATTAGGAAGTTTCCACATTTATGGTCTGCAACTTAAACCTATTGGCATGATACCGTAGCGTTGCTCATAGATAGCTAAGTATTTTTCTTATTGGCATTACTGCGTTAGAGGTTTTGCGAATTTCAGTTCTTGTAGAGATGGAATCTAGTCGTATTTGTTCTCTACTGCTTCCTGTTTTTCCAGGAAACATGAATGGAAATTTATATTTTGCTTATTTTTTTTCTACCAGGCAGGAAGGAGCCTAGCCTAAGGTCGTAGATTTGGGCGTCCCAGTTTCAGCCCATTTGCTAGATGCCTCCCCACAAGATCGAAACCGGGCACCAGGACGTGGTGCACGATGTCGCCATGGATTACTACGGGAAGCGCATCGCGACAGCCTCCTCGGACAACACCATAAAGATCGTCGGCGTCAGTGGCACCTCGCACCAGCAGCTGGCCACCTGAGCGGGCACCAGGGTCCGGTCTGGCAGGTCGCGTGGGCTCACCCCAAGTTTGGCTCCATGCTCGCGTCCTGCAGCTACGATGGCCGTGTGATCATATGGAAGGAAGGGGGCAGGCCTGACGAGTGGGTTCAGGCTCATACATTCACCGAGCACAAGTCCTCCGTCAACTCCATTGCTTGGGCGCCCCATGAGCTTGGGCTATGCTTGGCGTGTGGTTCTTCTGATGGGAACATTTCGGTCTTTACTGTGCGTGCTGATGGAGTTTGGGACACTACACGCATTGATCAGGCGCATCCAGTGGGGGTGACTTCGGTGTCTTGGGCTCCAGCAATGGCCCCTGGCGCTCTGATCACTGCTGGACCTTCTGGTCAGTTTGAGTATGTCCAGAAACTTGCATCTGGTGGCTGTGACAACACTGTTAAAGTATGGAAGCTGCAGAATGGAAGTTGGAGGATGGATTGCTTCCCTGCCCTTCAGATGCACAAGGACTGGGTGAGGGATGTGGCCTGGGCTCCAAACCTTGGCCTCCCAAAGTCTACCATTGCCAGTGCATCTCAGGATGGAACTGTTGTGATCTGGACTGAGGCGAAGGAGGGTGAGCAGTGGGTAGGCAGGATTTTGCATGACTTCAAAACCCCTGTGTGGAGGCTGTCGTGGTCGCTTACTGGGAATATTCTGGCTGCTTCTGATGGTAATAACAATGTGACCTTGTGGAAGGAAGCTGTTGATGGTGAGTGGCAGCAAGTGACGACTGTTGAACCATAAGTGTTTGGATTGCTTGGTGTGGCCATAGTATTGGAATTGTTGATCATTTTCGATTTTGTTGTATGGTACTCATAGTTGCAAATTTATTGCGCTTCACTAACATCAGAGCTGTTTCTTCCTTTCCTACCTTTCTTTATATACCGTATGCTATTGTATGTTTCTGTTAACCCGTACCTTGCCTGGCAAACATGACTGATATGATAAGCATGATCTTTTACTGGAATGGAATCGGAAATTCAGTTCTTTTTTGCAGTGATTTTTGAGAATGAAACAGCATGCCTTGTGACGTATACTGTGTTTGTCTTGTGTAACACCAGATCCCAACCATTGCTAAGCTGACAGTTTGTATGAGAGCAAATTTCTTGTTAGTTTGGCTAGAAAGAGTGTATGTAAGGAAGTGAACTTTGCTTAGGCCAGGGCATGCTCATTCATATCTGTACTAGAGAGATTTAGGAATCAGGGAATATATTTTTTTTTATAAGAGGAATCGGGGATTTAGAATTGATACAAGTACATCAGTGACAGGGAATACATTATTATGCTGTTTTTTTTTGTGTGTCTTTTCTTATATCTAATTGAGGAAATCATGTTGATTATCACAGTTATTTTCTGGGTTTGTGCCAGATTGCTTGGTGCAGATTTATGATCTGTTCTGCTTGGGACGTAAGCGACAGTTCTATTTACATTTTCACCATATAGTCTGTATAGCCAAGAATGCACTTGTTCTCGAATGCCGAGGACTGTTTCCTCAATTAGCGTGTATGTCCACGATAGGAAATTGGCGGGAGCACTTTTTTTAGACTAGTTCGCTCGTGTTATAAGACATACTTTTTCAGCCAATAAATAATTTTTTTTTCATAATAAATCAGTCAATAGTTTTTTCAACCATGACTTATCAGCCAAACGAACAGTGCAGGTAACTACAAATTGCCTATTAGCCTGCCATCAAAAATTTCACCAAGAACTGAGACAAGTGAAGAACATTTTCGTGAAAAAAAGACAGGTGAAGAACACGAACTGCGGAACTGGAGCTGGAACGAGATGTGGTCATGTGGATGATTGAAAGCGGCAGTGACAACTGACGAAAAATAAAACGGGGAATTCCTCGTGTGATCACAATGTCTCATGTGCCTCTGAAAAAGTTCAACGGTCTTCAACGCCATTGCTCTAATTTTTTTGTGTTCTTCATGTCATTGCCGTCAGTTTGGGTTCTAACGCCGTCAAACTACACGTGTGAAAAATCGAAAATACCCTTATGTCTAAATATGTCATTATTTTTTTTAGCATCTTAACGACTTCAAATGAAAAAACTCAAAACTAGAAAGTTATAGATCTCGTCGAGATCTATAATTTTCATATAAAAATTATTTTCATTTAATTCCATAAAAAATGATTTTTCTAAAATATATTAATTATATCAAATCATATTTTTTGTAGAATTAAATAAAAATAATTTTTATATGAAAATTATAGATCTCGACGAGATCTACAACTTTCTAGTTTTATTTTTTTTCATTTGAAGTCGTTAAGATGCTCAAAAATTTAATGACATATTTAAACATAAGAATATTTTTGACTTTTCACACCTGTAGTTTGACGGCGTTAGAGCCCAAACTAACGGCGGTGACATGAAGGGACAAAAAAAAGTTAGAACAATGACGTTAAAGACCGCTAAACTTTTACAGAGACACGTAAGATATTACGATTTTTTTTTTAATGTCACCCCAAGAATGAAAAGGACAGCAGCGGCATCCGCTACCAAACAGAACCAACAACTGCAGTACTCTCAGCGGCTCAGCCATAGCCCATCATAGCCAACCTTCTGTGACCCGGCGCGCAAACATGGCGTCGTCACCGTCCCCGCGCCCCACAGCCAGGCTCCGGAGGCCTCCGGCCTCCCCCGCGTCCTGCTCCTTTCCGGCTGTCTCCCTGCGCGGCCTCCTCTCGCTCTCCAGCGCCTCTAGGGTTCTCTCTGTCTCCTTCCGGCAGCAAAGGCCGGTGGCATCGACCTTCGCTGGAAGGCCGCGCCTGCTGACGGCTGCGCGGAGCTCCGGAGACCCTGGAGAGGTGGTATATTCTGCTTTTACTCAACGAGGGTTTACGAATTTTGTTTTTGGTTGCCTTGATTGGGGGACATTGTTCACAAACTCTTACCTGAATTTCCCGATGAACTGAAGAACATCGAGCTGTGCGTTTGTATCTGTGTCTAGGATAGGTTGATTCACTCGATTGGATGTGGCGAGTCCATTCTAGGCTCAATCTGTTAGTTTTGATGCGGCGAACAATCATAGTATATAGGTTGAACCTTTTGCGGGGCGTGGATTTGGACAGTACGGTCTCGCCTGTTTGTCAGTTCAGGAATTGACAGCTGATTCCTTTAGGTCCAGACAGCATAAGCACATATTACTCCCGGTTGCAACTTTCTAATCATGGGAACCGTTAGATTTATGCGAGATTTATCAGTATCCCCTATATTTTATACCTGCGCTCATATAGTGTGAAAAGGTAGGGATCACTAAAGTTGTGCTACTAAAAATGTGGTTGCTAATAGTTGGTGTGGACTTAGTAATATGGACATGCATGTAGTGAAGCTATAAAAAGATTTTGCAGTGTGACGGGAGTTGAGTCACCGTGATGCTTCCTTGATTGCCAAGGATCATTCTATGTAGGGAAAAGCATGTTGAAACATGACACCAAATATTTGCTGGCACGTCTGGAATGTGTGTTTCTTTTGTTCTTTATACATTTATGGCATTCTTGGTAAAAACAAAGTTGATGGAATACATGCTTGTGTTTGTGTAAACCTGTATACGAGTTTAATAAACTGTAAACCATCTCACCTGTAAGAGCTTAATTAGTGATTAAAAAAACCTTGATGATAAGAAGATATTGGTCTTAGTACACCTGAGTGATGTTATCTCAAACTTAACTGCTCTGCATTTTGTGGCTAGATCGATATGGTCAGTCATGAAGGAACTGAGCAGACACCTGGAGGCTCCACTGGTATGGTTGTTGTGAGACATGATAGCTTTCTTCATCAGTTTGTATTTCTTCATAGATCAGATTTGATCTTTCCTTTTGGTTCTGCACAGGTCCAAGAAAAGATGGACAAGAGACAGCCAAAAGTTTCTCGACTAAAGAGTATTCACTAACTGTAAACACAAACACAACAACAACAACAACAACAACAACAAAGCCTTTAAGTCCCAAACAAGTTGGGGTAGGCTTGTAAACACAAACACCAATGATGATAAATCTTCCATATCCTATCTTAGATGTCATAAACAGAATTTTGATCCATACAAAGCTAGAATCTGAAAATAAGAATTATTGGTTAAATAACCACTCTGTATGGATCTAGATCTATCTTGTTTATACTGACCACTAGGAAATTTGCAAGCCATTCTCATGAATAGTTACACTTGTCCTTGGAATGACATTAGCTTCGCCTTTTCAATTCCGTACTACAAGAGACATTATTGATCATATATTTCTACAACTGCCAGGTTGCTAGAAAAACTAAAGAGATATGGTGTTGCTGGGGTTCTGTCATATGGACTACTTAACACTGTCTACTATGTGACTGCATTTTTATTAGTCTGGTAAGAAATGTATGTATCTGTGAAATCTTAGACTTAATGCTACCTTGTCTGTAATATTTGTTTACAGAAGAAACATTTCTATTTATAACTTCAAACTGTAAAATGGTTAGTGCTTTGATAATGATAAACAGGCTGCTGGATTCACTTAAGCAGCTGTTCTGGTGGTGAAGTTCCACTAAACAAAACAATTGAACAAGCATTATGAACATTTAGGTGGATAATGTATATCACAATGATGGGCTTTTCAGGTTTTATTTTGCGCCTGCTCCTGGTAGGATGGGTTATGGTGCAGCTGTTGAGAGGTAATGTTTATAAGTTTTTTTTTTTTTTTTGCACATTACCTGTTTATACTGTAACATCTTTTTATGTACTAGAGCAGATTCGTTAAACTAATGGCAATGGTCTGGGCTGGCAGTCAAGTTACTAAGATTTTTCGAGCTGGAGGGTGAGTCAAATACCCAAGTACCCAACCTGTAAACTCATTTGCTAGTTTGTAATTTGTTTCTCTTATCAGCATAGTAAGTCTAGCTAGAAACAATTTTTCTTTTGCTGGTATGTTGAAGAACATCCTGAAGTATATACATTCGTATTTCAAAAAATTGTGGATTACCAGTACAAATCCATTGATTTCTATTCTGAAATGTTACCGTTGTCTGTTATGGTGGATGCCAGGGCCCTTGCTCTGGCTCCTTTTGTTGAGAGAGGGCTGAGATGGTTCACAGTCAAGTTCAACTTCAAGTCAGAAGGGAAGGTAAAATACTAAAGCTTTGTTTATTTTTTCTAATGGGTATCTGTTCATGTTTGAGCCAGAGTGGGTATAAATCTTCTTATTTGTCTTTACTCGTGCTACTATGCAGGCTTTTGTGGCGATTGTAGGGTTGTGCTTTGCAGTTGCTGCTCTCATGTTCTTTGGATTAACAATACTTTGGGCATAGAGCATCTGCTTTCCTGATGCATAGTTAGGAATCATGAAGAGATGCTGTGGAATAGAACCTTACTCCAATCAGTAACGCGGTGATCACACTCTACTAAAAAACCTCACCTAATATTTCAGTGTGGTACTGTGGTTGTTCATAGCCTGCATGAATATGTATCTTCATGGTTGGTTAGTGATCGCAAACATCTTGAATATACATATCCCTGTAAGGTCCTGTTGGACCGTGTGCAGTCATGAGAAATTTTGCAAAACAAAACATGCTTTCTAGTGGATTTTTTCCATCCAAGCTTTGAGATCTGCTAGGAGTAGCTTGTAATCTTACATCTTGAGCTTATCCAAAGATCGATTTCGAGCTCCACTTAATCTTCTCCCCAAATCTGAAGTTTTTCTTTGTCTGATTTTTGGAGCTTTTTTTTTTTGGAGATTTTTTGTTCGTCGGATTTGGCTGCAATTTGTGTGAAATTTCTTAGGGCAAATTGATGCTAGGACATATGTAAACAAACCTACGGTAATTCCCAAACAAATACCTCACTTGAGCACCACAAATTTTGATTTCCCCCAAATTTCCACATTTTCTTAGGGTTTCTCGAATTTCTGAAATTCGTGGTGAATCTTGAGTTTTGTTGTTGGATATCATGGGGATTCACTCTCTTGGATGAGGTGAGGATGCTGTACAAATTTCCTTGCAATCGGTGTTGATTTGCATCTCCTTTGGAAAATTCTCGCGGAGTTCGAGCTGCTTTGTTTGTTCTGTAGCAGTCTAGCACATACTACTTTCCGCTACCGGTAATGCTATATAAGTCCGGAAGGCGCATGCCTCGCTCCACCCACTGCCGCATGCGCAGCTCGTCTGATAAAAAAATAAAATCTAACTTCTGCACACGATGCTCGGCTTTGCTCCTGCATGCGGCGGTCGATTGCCAGCCCTACCAAATGCGGCACGCGGCTGCCCTTTCCTAGTTTCGGCACGTGGCTGCCTGCAAGTTGCGGTGGAGCAGTTGTCGGCCCTGCTAGGCGCGCAGCCGCCTGCGAGTCGCGGCGCAAGGCTACCGTCCCTGCCAAGCATGGCGCGAGGCCGCTACCTCCCTACCTGACGCGCGGCCACCGCCTCCCTGCGCTGTCGCGCGGCCACTGCCGAGCTGCTGCCTACAAGCATCGCCGGGCCGCTGCCTCCGGCGAACTCTACGTGCCGACGAGCATCCGTTCTTCAAGCGGCAAGGAGTTGTTTGCGCTGAAACTGCATGTTGCAAACGTCTGTTTCAAATGTTTCAGAGGTATGTTGCAATGGTTGTACACGTATGTTGCAAAAGTAGAACGGGAAGTTGCACATGTTGCAATGGTTGTACACGTATATTGCAAGCTCCTGTTCTCAATGTTTCATCTATTTTTTTCCGACATATGTTGCAATTGTGTTTATCTGGATGTTGCATATGTTTTCACACGTATGAATACGAGTGTTTTATCTGGATGTTGCGTATGTGTTACAATGGTTTTAGGTGTTTTTGCAAATGTTTCAGACACATGTTTCAGATGTTTCATTTGTTTGCAGACGTATGTTTGCAATTGCTACATCTAGATGTTTTAAAACTATATCGAGTATTGTATCTCCCTCCTCGCATTTCTGTTGTCTCGCCGCGGTGTCAGGCGTAGGAAGACGGAGGTGGTCCCCACTTGCGCGGGCGGGCTCCACGTGCTTATGGGCTGGCGCAGCAGGCAAGACGTGGAGGGCAGGTGCGGGACGCGAGACGGATGGCAGTGGCGCAGGCGTCCGGACGGAGGACTAGCGTAGCCACACCCTTCCGCTTTGCAAAGGTTCCTTTCGTTCTTCTACTTCTTGAACAGCAACTTTGCTATTTGCTTTTCTATGCAGCTATTCAGATTGTCAGCATTAGAAGCAGCTTGCTGTGTTCCTCACTGTTGTATTTCAGCAGTAGTTCGATGTTGAACCTGTGATGCTGTTTCTCTGTTCTGAACTCAATCCTGCAGATCTAGAGGAGCTACAGAATACAGATCAATTGTTGTTCAGCTGCATTGATTTTCAGTCCTTCAGTTCAGTTTATAAAACAGCAGCATAGCAGCTTGCTTTCTGTTTTTGTTGCAGCAGTCGTTGCTAGATCTGTTCCCTGCAGCAGGATTTTTTTTTCAGCAACTCATTTCAGCAGACAACAGCAACTGAAGCACAGCAGCTGACCGTCAACAATAATAAAGTCAACATTCACATTCAGACTAGGTGCAGCATCTTGTTCCTATTTATTAAATCCAATCATTAAGGCTTCCTTCCTGCATTCCAATTGGCTGATATCTAGTACTTTGGTTTCTATTCATTGCTAGTTCTTTCAGTTGTTAAATGGTTCAGCTAGTTTCTGAATTTTACAGCTCAACTACATAACCTTGGTTCAAAGTAGTTTTCTCGGTTCAGTGAGGGCTTTCTATCTTGTTTGTTTTGCTTCCGCGATGTGCTAACCTTGGTTCGCTTCCTGGGGAATGGCGCCAGGAAGAATTCCCACCCGGAATTGTTACTTAATTTATAAAGCTTGTTCGGTTGGCTGGTTCGTATCGTTACTGATTCGTTTATGTGAGAGAAAAGTACTGCTGGCTGATTCAGATGAACAGTACTCATGTGAGGGGGCTGGCCAGCCCAGCGATCAGCGGATAAGCTTTCTGCAACCGGAATGGTTCCTGGCTCCTGCGTCATATTGCCCTAATGTAAAAAAGAACATAGAGGGTAATTGCAGTGCCGTGCCGGACTCTTGATCAGTCACAGTTCACGAGTTCGGATCCATATGACCCTACTCTTGGCGAACTGATCCACGTGACGCCCGCTAGATCGTCTCCTTTGTACATCAGCTAGTAAAAACTGGGGACCCTAAAAACTGCCCCAAATCTGGCTTGTCTCATGCAGCAGTTCAGTCTACTAGCTACTCGTAGTCGCCGATAAGAAACGCCGGTTACATTTACACGGCGGCGCAGCTGAGCTGATCTCAGACTGTTTGTTTGGCTTGTGCTTATCGTATACGATCGTAAATTTCCAGTTAAAACAATATTTTTCTCTCACACAAACCAACCAGCAGTACTTCTTCACGAACCAGCAACGATACGAACCCGCCAAAGCTCCTTTGTCGGGAGTCCGGACAAACAATTGCTGGTTGCTGCCTTTGGTCGACAAGAGAAAGCGGGGGGAAAAAAGAGAGAGAAAGCGGAAAATGAAAATCTCGTGCAACAAGACGGCGGCCCAGACCGGCAAACCTACGCCGCCGCCCGCGTTTCAGTTCCACGTCCACCAGCTGGGAGATGAGGAGATCTCCGAAAGGAAACGAACGACAACGGGCGCCGCCGACGCGTCCAAATGGCAAGGCCGTAATTGCAGCGCCACGTCTGACCGTTTGTTTCCTTGTGCGTCTCCTCCCTCCCTCCCGTTCCGGTTTTCCACTACGCGGGCTCCCCCGTCTCCTCCACTCCTCGCTCCTCCTCCAGTCGTCCCCACCGAGCTCCATTAATGGCGCCTCCCCTAATTTTGCCATAAGTGCCGAGACCACGTGGGCTCTGGGAAGGAAGGAAAAAGCTACTGCCACTTCAGGGGGTTGGCCTGGGAGCCCGCTCCGCATCCACATGGGGTACCAGCCCATGCACGGCAACGGCGGGACGGCCGGTGCCGGGACATCAGGCTCCGGCTCCGGCGGCGGCGGAGACCACCTGCACCACCACCAGCAGCGCCTGCACAGCCCCCGCATGGCCGCCGGCGGGGGCTCCATGACCCGCCGGGCCAGCTCGTTCAAGCGCGGCGCGGGCGGCGAGATCGAGCTCCAGATCGGCTCCCCGCGCTCGCCGAGGTGCGACGGGCTGGGCAGCCCGCCCTCGACTCCGTGGAGCCGTCCGGTGGCGGCCTCCACCACCACCACCAGAGCCAGCACCTCCGGTTCCGGCTCTTCAAGCCGCCGGTCGGCTCCGGCGGCAGCGCGGTCGGGCTTGGTCAGGGGATCCGGGAGAGGAGGATGCTCGGGAACATGCTGTTCCTCGCCTTCTGCGGCGTGTGCTTGCTCCTCGGCGTCGCCAAGATCTTGGCGGGCGGCTGGTTCGCCCTCCCTGCCAATGACAAAGACGCCGATTTGAAGGTAAAGGATTATGAATTTTTTCTGCAATGGTAGCTGTTATTATTTGACATGTTTTTCAGTTCACCCTCCTGAGTCCTGATCAACAGCTCCAGTCCAGGCGTAGGAGAGTCACTTAAATGTCTTATCCGAACTTGTCAAGATGAATAAACGTGCTCTCAGCCTACTACTTGTTCAGTTACTTGCAAGCTCGGTGGTCTTGTTACAGAAAGCATCAAGATTTCTGAATTCATTTGTCAGATGCCACTTTTCATAGAATTTATGATTGTTGGCATTCCCAATTGTAGCAATGCATTTTGCGAGTCTAGTAATTTCCAACTGTAATTTGACTCGGTGGGATTAGGACCGCAACAGTTTAACAGATATCTGATGGGACCCCATTCTATTTTGATCCTTTTAGTTTGGATACTATAATAAATCAATTTAATGAGCTAGCTGAGAGATATAAGGGACCGGCCTAGCAAAAATAATCTGGTTTTGGATCTGTTAGGTTGGACCGTTTCAGTTATTTATACTGTTCTATGGAACTTCATTAGATAGGTATCCATGAGAAACTTACAGGACAGGTTTGGCAGTTGGCTTACAAAGAGACGCTGGCTCTGGTGTTACTGGCTATTGGCAGTTGGTTTCTGTAGGCTGTTTGTGCATCTTCGTTTTCTTCTCCTGGATATCTCTATGGTCTCATGTACACACCTTTTATCTTGGCCATGGTCTTTACTAGCCATAGGTGTGCATATGCTATTAATACTAGCGTGGGCGTAGGGCTGGACAAAATACTCACGGCTCATCAACTAGCTCGACTTCGTGGCCGGCTCAGCTCGGATCGACTCGGCTCGTTTTAACTTTTTCACGAGTTGAGCTGGAAGTCTAGCTCGCTATTTTAACGAGCCAGCTCGTGAGCTGCTCACGAGCTGAGGCCTATCAGCCCACGACCATAAATCCAGAAGATGATGATGCTGACCTAGAAGTGTACACCTATTCTATTGGTATGTAATCCTTATTTTCAGCCGTTTCATATGAATTTTAATTTTATAATTGCTGTGGTACTTAAATGTTGATTTTATGGATTATTTTTCAGGGAGAAGATGATGATGCTTATATGAATCTGTGGACTTTTCTAAGTTTGTGGTGGCAAGCAACTTATAGTATGCTGGAATTACATGATCGTGGATGGACCAGCTATGTTGCATGTATGATACTTTTGATGAACTTGATATGTATTAATCATGTATGGTTGCATAATGATGGACGTCACATTCTAGAATTAATGTAGCATAAATATTATAAACATGTGTGTCCTATTTTTTTTATAGTAGCTCGTGAGCTAAACGAGCCAACTCGAGCTAGGTAATGAGCCGAGCCGAGCTGTCCCTCTAGCTCATAATATTAACGAGTCGAGCCGAGCTGACTCGTTAGCCTAATGAGCCAGCTCGAGCTGGACCGAGCCGAGCCGAGCTAGTTCGATATCTAGCCCTATATAGCAGTGCAAATGGTCAGATAGATACAGTGGTTCTCGGATTCGGATTCGAATACGGATAGTGTCAGCTATGTCGGATATGATATGAATGGATATTGACATCATATATATATTATGCTATTTAGTGTTTGGATACATATACGGTATCGGATATTGAATATTGAATATCTAATCTCAGATATGGATGGATCTGAACTCCTTTAAACGTACTCGAACTCGGATATGGTCGGAAAATATCAGTACCATTTGCACCCCTAGTTAATACGATTAATCTCTGTGCTGATTGCTTGGGCTTATACAGAAAAACTTCTTACTGAGTACTGCCCAAATCAAAACTGCAACTTATTGCTTCTCACCATTGGCTGGAGCAGTGCCCTTATCTCTCTATTTAGTCTACCAATTAACCAATGCTTGACTTCCCTACACAGGATTTGATCAATGACCAATTTCAGAAATTTCTCTCCTGAGTTTTTCTAGAGTCGCCTCTGTAATGGCTAAAGTTATACATAAAGATCGTTTGGTCTGGTCAGAGAACATGCTTGTAGCATGAAGACAAGTCCTCCAGTTGTGAGGCTACCAACCAGGGCTCAAACCCTGGTTCGCACAAAAAGGTCCCTTGCTGTGTTCCCCAAAAGCTGTGTTTGTGGCAACCATGTCCCTGTACCGGTAAGAGCAAGCTTTCAGGTGCCTTTTCTCGAGTCTCGACCTTTGAAGCAATGCCTTCAGGTTGTCTTTGCCCCTTGGTTGACTTTTTTAGCAATAGTTTCTTTCCAATCATGTTGTATTTTTGGCTCAAACCCTGGTTCGCACAAAAAGGCCCCTTGCTGTGTTCCCCAAAAGCTTTAGTGTTTGTGGCAACCATGTCCCTGTACCAGTAAGAGCAAGCTTTCAGGTGCCTTTTCTCGAGTCTCGACCTTTGAAACAATGCCTTCAGGGTGTCTTTGCCCCTTGGTTGACTTTTTTAGCAATAGTTTCTTTCCAATCATGTTGTATTTTTGTGTATGCCCTGAGCTTATCACATTGTTTCAGCATTTCATGAAGTTTATATAGCCTGAATTTTTTTTATAGTTAATCCAAAATTATTGTATAAAAAAAATTAAGAATCAGAAGGTTTGGTACTATACTATTATAATGCAAATTGGCTGCATTTGTACATGTTTCTAGGATATCTCTGTCTCCTTCTCTGGTGAGAAAGTGCATCAAGTTGATCATCACTTCGTATACATGGGAGGAAAAGAGAGTGACAGGACTTTGATGACAGTGGAATCTAGCATCAGTGGAAGAGAAGACAGTGTAGCTGAGGCTAGTAGTATATCTCTGCCTAGACCTATCCTTTTGTCGGCAATGATTTATGGAAGTTAACTTTCTTTCTTTTTTGTTGGTGCTTCATGTAGGCCTCTGATGTCTGGTCTCAGCCAAGCAGTACAAATTTCAGACAATGCATTGTTTCAAACTCTCATAAAAGTAAGTTTGTTTTTGTATGTCAGTAATATATCTAGCCTTTCTTCTGTCCTTTCTTAACATAATTTAGTCTCTTGTTCTTAATTTTGTAGAGCAAGTTTCTCATACGAATGGTTACATTATCATAAACGCAAATGGAGGTTTGAATCAAATGAGATTTGGGGTGCGACTACTATTGTATAGATCAGTTTTAGGTTACTATCTGTATTTGATGCCTGATATCTGATGGCACTGTTCTTCACATTGTAGATATGTGATATGGTTGTTGTTGCTAAGATCCTGAAGGCAACTCTGGTTCTTCCTTCACTCGATCATACATCCTACTGGGCAGATGACAGGTTGGTGATCTTCAGCGGCAACCGTCTTATCTCTAAATCTCAAATCCACTTAGACTTGTCAATCAATGCAATCATTGCACTCATTCTCGGTTCTTCATTTCACTAGTGAATTTAAGGACCTTTTCAACTGGAGGCACTTCATTGAGTCACTGAAAGAAGACATTGATATTGTTGAAACACTTCCCCCTGAATACAGTGACATTGAACCTTTGGCTAAAGCTCCAGTATCTTGGTCGAAGGTTAAAACCTGAAACTCGACATCTGTGAATAGTTTACATTGAGATATGATGAAACCACTCACTTAGTATTTTATTCTGGGCAGGTGCATTATTACAGAGATGAAATCCTCCCCCTTTTGAAGAAACACAAAGTCATTTACTTTACACATACAGATTCTCGCCTTGCTAACAATGGCCTTCCTAGTTATATTCAGAAATTAAGATGCGGAGTTAACTACAGATCTTTGAAGTATTCTCATACAATTGAAGATCTTGGTAATACCCTAGTTTCAAGGATGCGTCAGGATGGAAGCCAATATCTTGCTGTCCATCTAAGGCAAGATCCTTTATCTAAGGATGCTTCTGTCTGCATATTTTTATTGTTATTTTTGTGCCTGATTAGTTGAGTCAGTTATTTTATTTCTTAATTCTGAATCTCCATTTAGCTGTTGTTTTATATTTGTAACAATATGAGGATTGAAATCTTAGTTTCTCTATCTCCAAAATATTGAACGATAAATCTTGCATTGCATGGACAGATTACATAAATCATTTTGCTATATCAAAGATAGCATAAATATTATTATCTTGTCTCTTTAAAGAAAATACAACTGAGGTTGGAATTGGAATCAAAAGATGCTGTGGATCTCGTTGTGATCTTTTTATAGATAAAGTGGAGTATATGATGGATGATCTTAAACAGGCCTGCTGCTTGACAGATATTTTATGAAATCGTCTTCTCAAGCAAAGTTGAATTTCATCAATCATTAATTAGTCTAAAATTGCTTTGAAATTTTAGCCATAAATTCTTGTAACTGCAGCAGCAATAATTCTACAAAATTATGGTGCCACATATCAAAGTTTGTTTAGCTAGTCTAGCGAAGCAGAATTTTTACTTGAAATCCTTAAGTAACCATACTAATACATCTTATTACTGAACTCTCTAGCTGCACCTTCTAGCACATTAAGATAAATCATGTATTAACATATTATTGTAGTAATCATGCACAAAGTAAGCTGCAGATACATTTCAGGTTTTGCTCATTTGATTAATTTGTGTCAGTTATGTCTTTCAGGTATGAGAAGGACATGCTAGCTTTTACTGGTTGCAGCCATAACTTGACAGCAGAAGAAGAGGAGGAACTGCGTAAAATGCGTTATGAAGTCAGTCACTGGAAAGAGAAAGAAATCAATGCTACTGAGAGAAGAAGCCTTGGTGGCTGTCCTTTGACACCAAGGGAAACTTCACTTTTACTCAAAGGATTGGGTTTCACTCGAAGCACCAGAATTTACTTGGTTGCTGGTGAAACTTTTGGCAATGGAAGCATGAAAGCTCTGAAGGATGATTTTCCCAATATTTATTCTCATTCTACACTGGCAATAGAAGAGGAACTTGCACCCTTCAAAAATCATCAGAATATGCTTGCTGGTCTTGATTACATCGTGGCTCTTCAGAGTGATGTCTTTATTTACACTTATGATGGAAATATGGCAAAGGCTGTACAAGGCCATCGTCGTTTTGAGAACTTCAGAAAGACTATTAACCCAGACAGGTAATACATTAAACTGTTAGATGGGTAACTTGTTATGGTCAATTTCATTTTGCGCCGAATGAACATGTAGCCTTGTGATTTGTGTTGTAGACATGTGGTCATCCACTTGTTCCTCCTTTTTTTCTGAATATCTGATTCTTTGTCCTGCAGGATGAGTTTTGTGAACCTGATAGATGAATTTGATGAAGGAAGAGTGCCTTGGGATATATTCAGCTCAGAAGTGAAAAGATTACACAAAGACAGAATAGGTGCTCCTTATTTTAGGGAGCCTGGAGAATTCCCAAAGCTAGAAGAGTCTTTCTTTGCAAATCCAATGCCTGGCTGTATATGTGAGAAACATAGTGAAGAATGAAGATGCAGGTGTGCTGATGGTTCTTAACCCGCGCCTCTTAAGTCAGAAAATATAGGCCTCTTCTGCCTGCCAGAGTGCCAGGTGTTACTTACACCGATGTTGAGTCATGATCAGTGAATTCGTTCCAATGAATACAGCACTGCTGGGACAATTCATTTCAGTTTCAGCCCTTACTGGAGTTCACAGTATGTATATTGGATGTTGGGCATGACTGTTCATCAGTTTTCGCACGACTGTAGTATGTGAGTGGCTATGCCTTTGAGGTTTTGACATTTGCCGCAATTGGTACATAAAAGGTACATACACTGGAGGACATTATGCCGAGGGCTTATAATTTTCCACAACTTCATTTGTACTTGATTATTTGTAACTAGACAAATTGTTTGCAGAATTGCACAACTAGATCTGCAAATACAATGGTATATACATTTCCAGTGCTAGTCATTCAAAATGTAGCTACAAATTTTGATTGTGTATACAGCCCTATTTTATATACTCGAGTCTCAAGAAAATAGTTTTGACTTGTGCAAACTGTGTCAGGTTATAGCATCCATATATCCAACTAATAATTTACATGAAACTGGCCTTGCATCCCCCACTCTGTCGTCTCAAATTGATTGGGTGTGCTTAGTCGCTTCCGGACCCGAATTGATTCGATAGCATGTCGTGGTTGGCTTGGTGCCTGGTGGAGTTGTGCTGCTCACTCTCTTCATGCACACTCATCTCCAAGTTGAGTTGGCGTGTGCCTCGGCTAGGGGGCTGTGCTTGGTGGCATGGAGTGACAGATAATTGTTCTCCACAATTACTAGTTACCCATTATTTCTTTCAAATAAAAAATAAAAAAATGGTACTGATCACACACTTTTCGTGTCCCCGCCCATTTAGTATGCTGCAATACCTTTTTCTAAGTACATTATATTTTTCCTACAGTTCGATCTCTCAATAGACAGTTTATATTTTTTTCCAACTGCCGTAAATCTCATGAGGTTTAGCAGAGTGAAGCTGTGATTAATATTTTTTGGATTTGGCTTCAACTTGTAGAAAAAATGATGAAAGTCGTCACATTTAAAAAAAAACACCGCTAATATCTCACAAGGATGATTGTAAAGTGTACTACTTGAGCTTTGCTGGAAATGCTCTGGCGTAAGGCTTGAGCAAGATTGGGCACAGTTTGAAGGGGAAAAAATAACACAGGTGGAACCAGTAGGCAGTAGCCGATTTCACTGGATGCAGATAACTGAGTCAGGAATCAGGAGTTACAACTACTGCTACTCGACTAGGGTTCAGCGTTCAGGAGTTCATCTGTTTGACATCCTATTTACAGACCCAACCAGGCAGACACCAACCCTAAATCCCAAATACATGACGCGGTGATTAATTTAATGCAAGTCTGAATAGTGTTTAACGTCTGAAAATGAAAGCTAATCCCACTTAGGCGCTGGAATGAGTATAACGAAGATAGGTCGTTATATGAGAGATCAATGCCTTCAAGACTGGCTTTCAGCTTCAGTTGTCTGATGAAAGTTGAAACTGCATAGGCTGCCTCTTCAGAATTCCTGACAGCACATGTGGCTAGTAAAACGTTATGGCACTCTAACTAAGCAAGAGGATAACATACCTCGACTACTCAGGCCAAGTCTGTAACAGTACATTACTACTTCAATCGCATAGAACTGTCTCGAATCTCATAAAAAAACATCAGTGTAGTGCGACATAACCTTATCACACAGCCAATAGCACATCAATTTGTTTCAGAATCAAATACTACAAAAACTACGAAATCATTGGAGAAACTACTTTCAGCATCTCTCACGTTTGAAATTCTGACGTCCAAAAAACTACTTCAGACAAAAAAGGGAGCACCGTCTCATTCAAGTGAACCGATTTTACACAATTCAACTAATGAACAGAAGACGCCATCCATCTAATAATTTCCAGCTGCACCTGCATGGGCAAAGACAAACGGTTTAATTGTACACCATCACAGCAACATAAAGCAGACATGAAATAAAACGTACAGATTGCCACTGCATTTCTGCACACTGATTAACATCCACAATTTAGATGCATTATACTAAGTATGAATCCCTAAATCTGATTTCCCTTTCCACCATTGGGCTCCTTTAATGAAATGTTTTATCCACACAGATTGGAAATAGAAATATAGAAGCAAAGCACACAAAACGTTCCTTGTCTTACCCCCCCCCGAATATTGTTCCAATTCCTCACACCATTATTCAGATCTAACCCACTCCAATATGGAAAGCCAATATAGCCTAATGTAATATGAAAGCGAGCAATTGGTGATCATTCAGATAAAAGAGGACTTCGAGAGAGAGAAAATAGTCTGAATTTTTCCTCCCTATGTTGAATGTATACACAATGAAAAGGATTATATCGATTATTGAAGCAGAGTGAAGGAATAATTAGAAGCTCAATCTGTCAAGTTTCAGACGAAAAAGGAAAATACCAGTGACCATTTTGTCAAGAATATCTTATCTTGCACTGCAACAATGGTCAGGTTCTTCATGGAGGCACAAAAAACTTCAGCACAAGTCTGTTATTAACTTATTAGTCACATTTCTTCAGCAGAAAACTCCTGGGTGAACTAATCACTCTTGCTTGTACTTATTTAACTTAGTCACATTTCTTCAGCAGAAAACTCCTGGGTTAACTAATCACTCTTGCCTGTACTATAGTCAAAAGTATATAATGTGAGCACTGCTAACTTTCAGAAAACGATATATGAGACAGAAATCCATTTGGTTCAAACAAAACACAAAATATGGAATTGTGCAAAATAAAATGAAGTCCCTAATTTCTTACCTTTAAACAGAACCTGAGCTTGAGCTGAAACTTTTCCACATGCTACTAGCTCATGCAGTGGATCCACATGAGACACTGAGCAATCATCATGATGACTGATGCATAACCTACGAAGAAGCCTAGCTTTAGAAAGAATGAACTTCATAAAAGACATTTCATTTGGAAGCCAATTGATACCAGTCATCTCCAGAATTTGAAGATTGGCACACATGCCATCTGCCCACTGTGCATTTAGGAACTCTCCATTTAGCTCAATTTTCTGCACTTTGCCGTAATATATCTTCACAAATGGATGTAGAAAAGGGTAGTTAGTCGAAAGCAGCAAGGCAACCATCTAAGTTCAAACATTGTAGGTACGAATTTCTGAAAGGTAGTATTCAGCATTACCCATATTTTAAGTTTTTCAAGATTCGGCATACTCTCCAGGAAGCAAAACAATAACAAAATGGGGGGCAGTTCACAGAAGTGCATGAACAATTTCACTCTTCAAGTTGTCAAAGGTGCATGGAAGGGTCTCCAGTATCTTAATCCCATTTACCTGGAAAAAGAAAAGGAAAGAATATAATATCAGAACACTGAAGCTGTATAGGTCATCAATCAGGGAAGTGGCCACAGGCCATTGAAGTGAAGCAGTGATGGATATCAAACATGGTTTCTGTTCGAAAGAAATCTTTCATAGTGACGCGTCGTTAATGTTCATCATTTCCCATTGTCAGGTAGTATAAGGCAATTTTAGTCAGCTTCTATTTCGATCCTGCCAAACTAGAGATTTGGAAGAGAGAAAATGAATACTTGGGAAGAACAGCATATACTGGTGCATAAAACATGCAGAGCCTAAGCTTCCTAACTTGAACGAGCCCAGCAAGAAAATTGGCGAAATCTCGGTCACCAACATACTCCCACAAATCGATGACAGCAGAGTGCAGGCATGGCAGCTCTGCAAAATTCCAGCCATAATCGATATTTGAGCAAATTGTTATGTGCCGCAGATTGGGCGCCCGGATCTCCCATTTAACGAAGTCGTCTCCCTCGATGCAGATTTCGCATAGTATCAGCTTCTCTAGCAATGGGGATGTCTCAATGATCTCCTCCAGTTGGTACTCCCCGTTCTGCTGGAACTTCACATTGGCAAGGCTTAGCACTTTAAGGTCCGGAAAGCCCTCGAAGTCTGGGGGTAGCGGCGGGATGTGGCAGGCGAAGAGGTCGACGGAGATGAGGCGGCGCCAAGAGAAGACGGTGGAATGTATTAGGATTGATCTCCCACCAGGCTAACTGGGCCTTGTCCTCGCGCCCTGATCGGGGGCGCCTAACTCTACATGGTTGCTGGGCCCCCGTCGCACAGCGCTATAAAGGAAAGGTGGGGGCCGGGGCTCGTGGTACGAGGTTCACCGCGCCGCCAGTCACCCCACCGACATCCAAACCCTAGACCCGATCGAAAGTAGGGGCACTGCCAGCGACGTGAAGTACCACTGACGCCGGCAACGCCACCCGACGCTCACGCCGCCGCCGAGGACGCCACAGCGCCACTCCCTCTCCACCGACCGTCGCTGCCGGCGCGCAGATGGCGTCCGTCAACGAAACCCCGGCCGGAGCTTCAACAACTACGGCATTCGATAGTTTGCAACCTATCCTCTCTCTCTCTCTGTGAAACCCGAACATCTATTACTACTACAAAGACCTCCCGATCCGATGAATATACCTAAACCGAAACCTAACAATGGTACCAGAGCGAGGTTCGACAAGAAATCAGATCGGCTAAGTAAAACCGACCGATCTGATGCGGATCGGGAAAGAAAGTAGAAAAACCGAACCCTAAGACCTAACCCTAATTCCCAAAATCAAAACTGAACAAGGGATTGAAGAAGGGGAAAAGGGAGGGTCGGATTCCAAGAACACTAGACGCAAATCCGAAAGAAAGAAGAAGGGTCAAACCCTAACCCTAATCCCATTTTTTTTTTTTTCCCCATTCGGATAAACCCGAAAAGAACAACTCAAAGATAGAAAGGGGAAAGAAGGGGTAGGGTTAGGGTGCGTCGGATGAACTTTCACCAGTGCGGAAGAAGAAGAGCCGAACCGGTTTTTCGCCGGCGTCGGAGAAGAAGCCGAGCCGGGGCGCGGGCTCGCCGGGCTCGGCCAAGGAAGCGCCAGCAGCCAGCTGCTGACGGCGGCAGGTGCTCACCCGTTAGAGAACACGCACGCTTGCCGCGCGGGGCGGCGACGACAGCGCCAAAGGGCTCGCCATGGCCGTCCGCTCTGCTTTTCCTCGCTTCGCGGGTCGCTTTCGGTGTGGCATTTGTCTCGCTACGGTGAGAAGAAAGCGAGAGAGAGAGAGAGGAAGAGCCGAATGGCTAGGGTTTTCTAGGGCGCCGCCCAGCAAGCCTTTTTGATCCGCGCGAAAAGCAGCGCTCTGCCGCGGGATC